ATGTACCTTAGGAGAGGTGCAGTAGGCAGTATAGTTGTTGTTTTAAAGTTACAGCTGAGGCAGCTGTGGATTGGATAAACACCATTTAGTTATGTGTCTGCCCCGAACAGATAGTAGGTATGAATAAAGTACACCATAAGAAAGTCTTCAGAAGATAAGAGAACTAAGCATCATAAAGGTGGGATTGGTTTTTTTCTGCCTGGAAGATGATCTTTGATCATACGAAATATCTCATCAGCACAAACAACCTTTGAACACTTATAAGCATATACTTTCACTCATAATGCTTTAATCACAAAAGTTATAACAGCATAGCTGTCTGATTGGTACAATGTCTCTAATGCTGCTTCATATAAAGCTCAAAGTGACTAAATTCCAGAAGAACAAAATAGCCCTCTTGGATCAGAGCAAATGGTTATTGGGTCCAGCGTCCTGTTTATGCCACTGAACAACCAGCCTCCAGGATGCCCAGGGCAGGCCTAGGAGACTTTTGTTGCCTGAAGTAAAGGACAAAACAATACCAACCTTGCGGGTCCTTCAATAGTGGCAACTATAGAGCGTGCACGCCCCCAAGGGTGGCAAGGTCAGTTTATGGCATGCTGGAACACACCGTTCTGTGTTCCAAAAAGAGACACAGTGTTTTGATCTTGCTATCTGTTGACTTTATGCTGAACCATTGTACATCATTGCCTTGATACTCCGCTGGACTGGACTGACCCTGCTTCCATCTACATGCAAAACTGATTCCTTTTTAAACTATATCTTGATTGTTGCCAGGCAGTAGAATCGCCAAGTTTCAAAACTGTCCTCTTCTTTGTCTTGGATCCCTGTTTTAGCTCCCTGCTTTTTAGGTCAAACTGATAAGAATCCTTTGTCTACTCAGTTCCTGACCAGTACAGGGAAGCTGGCATGCCTGGCCCTATTCCTTGGCCCGAGAGGGCTATCATATTTCCCCCAGAGTCACTTTGTATCATGAGAAATACAGCAGCTGACTGGTTCACACGGGTTGAGGGGGTGATGCTTTTCAATGCTCCTCTACTCTGGTTTAGTCCAATACAGAGGGATGGTTCTTCCTTCAATTGTTGCTATGTAGCTAATTCCTGCCCCTTCACGGACTGCTGCCTTGTCATGGCGAAGGGGCTTGAGTAATTCAGAGAAGCTATGGGCTATGTCATGCAGGGACACTCAAGACGGACAGGTCATAGTGGAGAGTTCTCACTAAATGTGATCCACCTGGAGCACAATGTCATTAATGTTTAGATGAATGAAATTCAACTTATTCCCGAATAAATTGTGTAGAAAAACTGTAGCCTTATAGTGGAAATCCTACACATCAAGGCAGAAGCTACGTGAATTCAGTGGGATAAGATGGTTGGACAGGCTTTGCTGCAATGAGAACATTCAGGATTATAACTCCTAAATATCAGTGACTGTAATATATATACATTTCTTTGGTCTGTGACAGGAATGGTAGCAACCTCATCTTTCAAAGTATTCCCCCCCCCCCGAGAAGATAATGAGGGCTTAGCATGCCCACTTGTCACTGTACAGACCATTATGGCACGAGAGATAGAAAACCTTGGTGGGGAATCAGATTACAATAGAGTATTGTGGAAAAGAGAACGAATAATTGGCTGGCTGGTTAGCTGACCAGAACCTTGAAAAGGAGCAGTTCAACAATGCAACATTTTGTTTCAGATCTCACTGGAACATCTGAGACTGTACTGAAGTGCATATGTATATAGAAGGGAAAAAGAATCCCATTTACTACCCGCCGAGAGGAAACGGTCTGAACACTCCTGTCCGAGTGTAGCACATCAATCAGTATGGATCCATGGTGGCTGCTGTGCTTTGTCAGTAATCCATGGATGATGCTTTGACTTCCACAACTGAATCAGCCTGCAGTTACTGACAAATGATCAGTAGAATTGTTGTTATTTCAGGGACATTGTTATTCCAAGTTTACTGAGTGACAACATGAGATGGATTGATTCCAAAAGTAACCATGGCTTTGGGTTTGCAAGACCCGAGTTGGAATATTAATGATAGGACCTCTTGGGAATCATTCAGTCATGGGGGTTGCGGTAAGTCTGACACTTCTTTCTGTCCACTGAGGCTCTGGAATCTTCATAATGGAAATTAGTTTGTTTACATAGAATATCTGGCCAGATTTATGGGGGGTGGGAACTTTTTTGTTTTGTTTTTCTTCTCATTTTTGTACCTTCTAACTTGAAGAAAGGTTCTGAATGTCGTGATCATGAGTTATGTGGTTTAAGCTTTAAAGCATGTAATGTGAATGGGTTATGTAGTCATGAGAGATGTAACATGGAGTCAGAATGGTTCTTTGTAAAGAAGATTTGAAGGACTTTGGAATGTGTTTTTCTGAAAAAGCTGTGAGAATGTTTTCCTGTGGAGAGTACAGTGTGGGACGAGATAAGGAGACGGCTATGAAGACTCAACAGCCATGAAGACTCAACATTCTGGCCTAATTGGGAGAAGAAAAACAACACCTGGACTGTTTCATGGGAAAGAGGGGTGGAGAAAGGTGTTGTTGTTGTTTAGTCGTTCAGTCGCATCCGACTCTTTGTGACCCCATGGACCAGAGCATGCCAGGCCCTCCTGTGTTCCACTGCCTCACGGAATTGGGTCAAATTCATGTTGGTTGCTTCGATGACACTGTCCAGCCATCTCGTCCTCTGTCGTCCCCTTATCCTCCTGCCTTCACACTTTCCCAACATCAGGATCTTTTCCAGGGAGAAAGGTGTTACAGCCCCTAAATTCTAATTGGTTAACAACTGAATCGATAATGAAGGAGGGAGGAGATTGTGAAAGTAGAAAAATGGAGATTGTATTATATGAATAATTCCTTTTTAGATCCTTTGAACTATTTAGGTACAAGAATGAAGGTTTAAGTCTGATGAAGGATTTGGACTATTATTGCTAAGAACGTAGTGATCAGGAGAAAGGAAGAGGGGGGCGTAGCCTCCAAAAAAAGCCACCCAGGCTTTTAGATGTTTTTATGGAGTTGGGAATAGTTATTTTATTCTAACTGCATTGATCTTTGGATATATACTAAATGCTATACTTGAGCAACAAACTGAATTTCTATGAAACTTAATTTTTTCAATGAATTTTTTAATCTTAAAACTGGGGACTGGTCTCTTGAACAGCAAATAGGTAGGCCTAATTCCAGCCAGTGGAAAGGCCACAAGATTGCAACTAGACAGAGTCCTACCTCACTGAGCTGTTGTGAGTTCTAAGGAATCACAAAGCCCAGGTGCCTGTACTTGTAAAGTACTAAGTAACGTGCTAAGTGAGCACAAAGTGTTCTTTTTAGATCGCACTTGCTGGAAGGGATTTATGCTATGCTCTGCTGGAGCTTGAAGGACTCGACCCAGCGAAGGAGGAGGTAGATAAAGGCCTGGAGGCTCTCTGACCGAACAAGCAGCACTCCCTAATGGGACCGTGTTTGTGACACTGAAAAACCAAAAGCCTTGCTTTATGATATTTTAATGATTCTAATAAAGATACTACACAAATGTGCATGTTGGTCAATACTTGAGTTTCTCTTCTGGTTCAAAACATGAACATGGAGACCTATGCTTGGACCCAAAATGCTTCTGCGTGATACGATTTGGAGCACATTTGGGATGGTGGAGAAAGTTTTATTATCACCATCTGCTTCATATTTAATGCACTTTTAGAAATCCATTTAAAATGTGTTGAGAAAAAAATCATACCCACTGACTACAAATACCCCCTGTAACAGCAACCAGGGATCTTGATGTAACCCTCCAGGGATCACTTAGAAATTCCTTCCATTCTTATGGTTGTCCAGCATCACAGTTTTCAGCACATCTCCACAGAAATAGTTCCCTCAAACACTTGTGCTTCCCGGGATTGCCGGATTAACAGCAACGCCTGCACTGAGCTGTCTGGGTCAGAACCTGAGAACCAGCCTTGAAATGTCTCCATGTCAGTTCAATGGAAGCCTCAATGATGACCCACACGTGTTTGTTTGTTTGTTTTTTGCCCTGCTGCTGCTGGGGCTTTTCCTGGTACTCCACTATCTGCTTAGATCAAAAGTGCAAAGAACCCAAGTCAATGGACCCATCAGCTTGCTTACCAAGCGTCCTTCCTCTTTGCTTTTCTGGTTTAATATTCTGAATAATCCCGAAACACATTCAAACATGATCCTACCGGCATGGTGCCAGTTGCTCGACTGGGAGAAGTGTCCAGCCTTTGTAGCTCTCTCTCACACACAAAACCAGACTTCATCATCCTCCCCAGCCACTCACTACTGTATGTACTTTGTCTCTCCATCTGGAGACCCAGGAAAGAACAGCAATAACCTGACGATTCAGTTAACCTCGAAAACCCACCAAACTAGGTGCCCCCCCTTTCACACGTCTATTTGTACATCAACAAACGGGAACCTTGGAAAATCAGCAACAAAGATTCTTGAGGTAAGAAGCAACTCCCACAGATCATACCTTACTTCCAATACAAGCATGCATGACATGTTGTAATGCACACGTAGCTCTGAGTATCTTTTCTTCTAAATCAGCCTGTAAGGACTGCATCGTAAGTCCTCAATAAATGCAAACATCCCCTGGATTTCTGCACCAAATGAACATCGCAGCGACTATCCGTTCCAGGCACATTTTCCGCCTCCGCCACTAAGAAGGCATCTCCATGAAGGAGGCCAAATTCGCTTTTTTCACGGCACAGCCCTGGAATACTATATAAACGCGGCATAGTCCAAAATTACGACAAGGCGTGTTGCGCCAAGGATCCTCTTGCCTAGGCTCCGCACCCGTGGCAACAACAGCAACTGTAAACCGCTGCACGTGTAGGGATAAGACGGGAGGCGAGGGCGGAAGAGCCAAATCCCACCCCCCAGGACCGGAGGCGACCCTCGAAATGAAAAAGCCCCTCCGCCCAAATCAAAAGCGGGTTCTGCGCAGGCGCGTCTGAGACCGGCGCGGCGCCCTCTTCAGGAAGGCTCGGGGAGATGCCGGGGGAACGGCCTCGGCTTGGAGGCGCATCATGGCGGCGGCGGCGGGTCGAGTCAGCCTGAAAGAGCAGCGCTATGACCGGCAGCTCAGGTCAGCTCGAGGGACGAGGCGGGGAAGCCGTAGACGACGAGGGAGGGGAGGCCTCTCTCTTTCGGCTTTTCAGCGTCAGGAGGGAGGAGAGTCGGGGCTCCGATGGGTCGGTGGGAGAGAGATTTTTGCAGCCCCCGTTGTGCGGCTTCACTTCGAGGGTTGCCTAGTAACGACCCGGGCCTTGTCCCGAAGGGTCTCCCCCCTCCCCCCCACGGCGGGGATTTACTGGGCCGCCCCCTCCCCCCCTCCCCTCAGGCGGCTCCTCCTGCTCGTGGGCCTCCCCG